GGCTTCATATTTGCCAGCAAACCTTTTGATTTCTACTTTCAATTGTTGTTGTTTCTATTGTGGGCTTATTTCATAACCAACAGTACCAGTTTCACGAAATCTTCGTTCAAAAACTTCTTTCCTGGGATGATCTTGGAAGAAAAATTTTCGTTGTCTGAATTCAAAGATATTTTTGCTTGATTAACAAGAAATCTAAAACAAACCAACAAATAAACATTGCTACAATTAAATAAAAAGCGTTTAGAAAGCAAAAGACAAAAAATGTCAAAAGTACGACACGCCACTGCAATTTTAATATCATTAATTGCTTAAATATGAATGAATAGCATAATAAGCAAAATAAACACACTGGTGGGTAACATTTATTACTCTGGGGTGAGACATATACAATATATAAATACCAAGTTGTATAATAACCAAATGAAAAATATAAGAAAATATATAAAATATAACTCTTTTATTGCTTAATTATTAATAAAGTCATTCTATATTAATAAAGTCAATAAAGGTGATTGCTTAATGCACTGCCTCTAATAATTAGGTTGTGTTTGTATTTACTTATGATATAATTTTAAAGAAGCATTTTTAACAGGTCTTTTACACATTAACCATGTTTTCACTATATTATTAGAGATAATAAATCTTAAATATACATTTACAACCCTTACAACGATATAAATAATTATATTTTTCGTAAAATACAAATAAAAAATTGACGTGTCCCCCGGGGAAGTAAATTTTGATCACAAAATTTAACGCGGGGAAGGAGGAAGACTCCCTCTAGTAGTAATTGTTCAGAGGTGTAAACAACTAATTTTAGGTTAGATATAAAAGTAAAATTGTCATTCTATAAACATCATATCTGCTGATTATGCATTACATAATCATAGTGCCTTTAAAATGACATTTAACTCAGTTTTAATAAAAAAAACATTATTTAAAACATCAGAAGCGATTCTTATTAACTTGACATATTTTCTACGCCAAAAAACATACATTTATTCGACGTGACATCCACATTAAAGCACATACAAAATACTACATTTAAAGAATATCGAAATAATTCAACATCTACGAAACTTGCATACTTGAAACTTCGGTAGAAAACCATTCGCTGCCACTAAACCTCGAATTACGCCAACATATCTCAATTTGAAGTAGTCAAATATGCTAAACGCAAAAAACGAATCAAGTTAGAAGCTCTCGGAAGGAAGCTTTGCAGGATTTAAAGCCTTGTTATATGAAATAAAAATGTGTGCATCTCTACATAAAGTTAAAAGTTATTACTCTTAGATATTTTATTTCTGTTAGGAAATATTATCTGATGTTATTGACCAATTTTTTCTTGTAATGAAATTATTTTTCAATAACTTTTAATAATTCATTTAGTATAGAAAAATACAGAATATTCGTCAAGCATTTTTTAAACTTGTCTAGACAGATTCTATCAAGATCCATGAGTGGGTGAATTGTGTGATTTTTTTGAATAGATTGACAGAAGGGTGAAAAAAGTTTATAGAGTTAAATAAAATTTAAAGAACAACGAGTATAATTTTGAAGAGTTAAAATTGAGCTAAATATAAAGAGATCAAGAAAGAAGTATTTTAGATAGAAGCAGAGTCATGTCTCTTTTTGTTTATGTTCCAAACTTTGAACCACACATAGTAATAGTCTTGTTTCGTAATTCTCTGGGATTGAAAGTAGAATTTTACATACATTTTACATACATTTTACATACATTTTACATACATTTTACATACATTTTACATACATTTTACATACATTTTACATACATTTTACATACATTTTACATATATTTTACATACATTACATTTTACGTACATTTTATATACATTACATTTTACGTACATTTTATATACATTTTACATATATAACTAACATACATTTTACATACATTTTACATACATTTTACATACATTTTACATACATTTTACATACATTTTACATACATTTTACATACATTTTACATACATTTTACATACATTTTACATACATTTTACATACATTTTACATACATTTTACATACATTTTACATACAATTTACCTATATTTTACATACATTTTATATTCATATTAGTGACAGTGCCATCTAGAATATTAATTCGTAAGTTTACTAAATAAATAAAGCCAATATACATAACACGAGGCAAATGATGAAAATTTTAACAAAATAAACTGTCGGCAGCTGCAGTCAAAGAACCAATTTGGAATCAAAGGAACTTAATGGAAATTCGTTTGATGGAAAAGAACTAAGCGGACATCGATAATAAATGTATCTACCTTTACAAAATATCTATCTGGACCCATAAGGTTTCGTGAAATATTAGAGACCCGCATGTTCTTTGAAAGCCTTAATAAATAAACGTCACAAATGCTTTTCTTACTCCTTAGATAAAAGAATTCATTACGTGGATTGAATCCACGTTGGTCTCGAAGCAGTGGCATTACCGCTGAAGGGGTTTTAGTAAAATTGGTTAATTACCAATATTGTCTATATTTTGTTTCAATGCCTACAATTAGTTATTTCAACGACCTGTCAAAATTACTGTCTGTAGGCTTAGACAAGGTATATTATTATATATAGATTGCGCAAAGCTACTCGATTTATCAAAAATGTGTTTTAAAACTATTTGAATATAGTAAAAAAAATAATTACCTACATTTTTACTTCATGGCATAAACTTATGTTTATTTTGAAAAACATGGATGAGCAATCTATATAACTATCTATATCATTGACCCTATTTAATCCACCAAGACCACAGTGGCAACAATTTTGTTTAGATGCCTGATTGCAGCTGTATATTTTTTTAAAACTAAATTACCTATGTTATTTTGCTGCTTTGCGTGAAATAATGTATAAAATATTTGATTCAAAATAACACGAGTGCTATAAAATACGAAAAACGAGAAATTATTTTTACTAAAAAAGAATACTACTTTGATTTGTGTGCAGAGGATTAAGATTTCCAGTAGATACATAATGATTAAATAATTGAATACTAGCTGGATTCCGTATGATCTGTCGGCTTTATTACGTATTTGTACACTCCATAATTTGTACAATAGTAATTTGTTTCTCTTTCGATAATAATTGTCAAAACATTACTTTATAATTACATCCTAACCTCACTTTTTAACTTATACCACGCTACTGTCGCTTCATTGAACTTTTCATCATAAACATGTATTTTCAAAAATATTAAATAACAATAAAAAATTACTCCCAACTACTAGCTTACATCGACGCCAAAGCTTTTTAAATCTTTTCGAAGGAAATAAGTCAGCCAATAACGTACTGCCCTGACAGAAATTTATATCGCCACCTTCATCGTTCTTCTTTTTTTATTTCACACACGTGGCCTCAAGTGACCAGATATTAGTTTTCGTTCTAATAGAAAACCGGCACACGTGATCATAATCTCGATGCCGAACATTATTTGTCTTCTAGTCGATGGAAGCTAGAATTGATTTTTATCAAATTATGTGGAAATTGTCATGTACGCAACAACGTGATATTAATAATAAAATGGAGATGTATTGTTTCGCGTCGAGCCTATTGAAAATAAAGTTTTAATTAGATGAAATCTTAGGGTATTGACCAAAACTAAACCTTTCTGCTTGACGTTCCTGAAAAACTACTACTTGAAAATGGCGGCTTAAACGCATACCCCTTAGAAAGTCTAAATACCACTTGGAGTATGCTATCAATGACTAAAAATGACCCCATTCCATATTTAAGGGGGTCGCGACATAGGCGTCCATCTTGGGCGCCATTTTTTCCGAAATAATTAGGCATTCCAAACTGAATGGCTACCAGTGGGTTCTGACGGGTTATGATATGGCAAAATTATGGCAACCCTGTAGGCCTGGTGATTTGACAAGGTCAATGAAATAGATAGTTACATAGATTGATCATCCATATTTTTCAAAATAAACATAAGCTTATGCCTTGAAGTAAAAATGTAAGCAATTATTTTTTTTTAAATATCTAAAGGCTAAAAATTGGTTTTAAAACACATTTTTGCTAAACCGATTCAAATTAATAAATATTTGCCAGGCAATACCTATGGCCGCTCGTAAACGACCAGCTTTGAGCAATCTATATAACTATATATGTATCATTGACCCTGTTAATGACAACATGACAACAGGGTTGCCATATATAAACTGTCATTACCCACTGGTAGCCATTTGGACAGGTCGTTGGAATGCCTAATAGTCGCTAGGCTTGCCAACGTAAGAAATAAAAATCATTGTTTTTTAAATGACATTTTCATTATAAAATGCCCAGATTTTTTAAGATAAAATATTTAAATTTAATCAATTATTAATAATCTCACATGTACCTACGTAGAATACGTCGTGAAAAGTAGATCACTTTCAATTTTGTGCTGTTTTAATTTATTTTAAAAAGTAATATGAAGAGATGCAAACAATTTTCTTACAGAAACTAACTAAATTGGTCGAGGTCAAATAGTTTTAGTAGTCTTAATTTTATTTTAATTTCTATTAAATTGTCTTCTAAATTATATAAAATATTTTTTCATGTCACCAATGTAATGTCACTCACATACAGTAATAATCAAAGTATGTGAATGTCACTACAAGAAATATATTAAAAGTCAGTCTTAGACAATAGCTATTTATGAAACCAGTTACATATACAAAAAACTCCAGAAATCTGGTATTATTCCGACAATTATGATCATACCTGTATGTAATATACAAATAAGTCTAGTAAAATATACTGATAAAATTAAAGTAGTAGTATTTTATTTGCTAAAAAGATATTTTTGCATCAAAAAATCGTACTTCACGTTCATCCAGCTAACTTTAGAAGCACATTAACTCCTAAATGCAAATGACTCTTAATTTAACTATTCGACCCGAAATAATTATTTCAACGCTAGTCCGACTTTTTTCCGTTTTTTTTATTTTCAGCAAACTTATTATTCTAATTACCATGAATTTTCTAGTTGCATTTTGGGAGATTACTTGAAAGTGTTCATGCACTTAGAAGGTGTCAGCGTGAACGAATATACACCCTGGGAGACTCTGCTGTGCGGAGGATTCGCTGACATTCCGGCTATACTTTATTCTTCTGGTTCAGTGCTAGTACTCGAGTTCCATTCCAGTCCATATACAGCGAATTCCAGTGGATTTTTGGGAACGTTTAGGTTTCTGGAAAAAAGTAAGTAGTTTTGTTTTCTTATAAAAAGTCTTGCTTTATTTTGCTGTTTTCATTTGAAACCAGCTATCTAAAATATTATATTCTTTAAAGTGAAAAATAAGCGGAAAATAAGTATGTGCGAGAGGTCCGGTTTGCTCTTAAATCCAACATTATTTTAAAAGAAAATTGAAATGAAATTATAATAACAATATCTCATAAATATGTAATGTAACGTTCTTTTGCATAGTTTTTTAGGAGACATCTTGATCAATCGTAATATATTATTTAATATTAAAAGATCAAGACAAAAAGAACGATAATAAAAGGATACTTCTTCGTAATTATTTAATTTGAAAATGTATCAATCGTAATAAAAACATTAACTGATTACCTCTACTCAATCTAACTCATCTAATATCCGAACTCACTGTCATGTCTTTGTTACGGTTGACATCCCACATGCTCTATCCTGACCTCGTCCTTTTTTTGCTTGATTTCGAACGAAAATCTCATAAACGGTTATCCACATAGTGGAGGATTTTTTTTTTACCATCGTGACAAATTAAATTAGTTCCAGGTTTTAATTATTTCGGGCACAGAACAAAAAATGTGCCCATAATAGATGGTGTGTGAAAATGCTTTAATAAATTCCATTCATATCGCGATAAAATACTGGTTATAAATTGAGTGTAAAATGTGCTATCGACGGCAATTTCCCGTTTGTTTATTTCACTCTGTTGACGTATAAATCAGCGGTGTATGTCGAAATACAATAATGTTTTTCAAAGATAACCTGGTGGTTATTATTGTTGAATAACAAATTATATGATTCATGTTGAATATTAGCGTATTGTATGTAGTAATAACATTTTTGTGACATATCAATTCGGTAACATACAATCATTCAGTTCATCAGTAAATTTTAAATAGTGTGGTGCTATTTGTAACTCAACTGCAATAGTGTTCATGGGACCACTCAAATCATATGACTGGTTTTTGTGATGCGGGGTGTTAAACTTAAAAAATACCACTTATTTGATAACGGTTATTTCGGGAGAAAGCTAATCGATTATAATTTTTTGTGTAAAATCTTATTGTAACATTTTTTGGCATTCTATGGATATAAAAAGGGGTCAAAAATTATTTTCCTTTACAGAGTGGGCCACAAATAAGTATGGACATGTTTTTGATAAATACTTTTATTAATAATGATAAACCTCAGAAAAATAATGATAATTATACCAGTAGTAATTGAAATAGATTGTTGATGATGCATTTTTATTATTAAATAAACACTTACATTAACACATTGAAAGTTATTGTTTCTGTTAATATTTTTAGTTGATAAACTATAACATGAAAAATGCCGTGTTTTTAAATTCCTTTTAAAAATTATTAAACCAAATATTTTTCAAAGGTTTACAACAAGAATCAAAGTCTCTCTACCCTAAGTTTTGTTATAATTGGCATTTCCTAAAAATTTCACAAAAATCAGGCTAGAAAATAAAAGTTCAGAAGGAATTACAAATTTTTAAGGTATTCGGTTTGCTCTTAAATCAGTTTAAAATCAGAACCTGGAGCCTATTTCATAAAACTAATTTGCACTTTTTCACTTTGCACTTTTTCACTTTGCACTTTTTCACTTTGCACTTTTTCACTTTGCACTTTTTCACTTTGCACTTTTTCACTTTGCACTTTTTCACTTTGCACTTTTTCACTTTGCACTTTTTCACTTTGCACTTTTTCACTTTGCACTTTTTCACTTTGCACTTTTTCACTTTGTGCACTTTTTCACTTTGTGCACTTTTTCACTTTGTGCACTTTTTCACTTTGTGCACTTTTTCACTTTGTGCACTTTTTCACTTTGTGCACTTTTTCACTTTGAACTTTTTAGTAAATTTATCTTTCATAAAAGAAAAATTTTACTAGTTAAAAAATAACACTTAAACAAAAATTTGTCAATTAAAAATGAACAAATAATCTGTAAAAATAACTATATTATTTTATGAAATACAAGTATTTTGCACTTGTAAATTTGCAAAGTCAAAAGTTGCAAAGTTGTTTTATGAAATAGGCCCCTGGTTTATAAAAAATTGCATTACAGTGCTACCATTAAAATAATAACATTTTTACCTATTTATTCAGAAGTAAATTGATTGATTTAAAAATAAATCGGAATATTTTAATGAAATCCTTTAAAAAATATTCATTATTTTAACAATTCTATTATCAAATCAAATAATATGGCTTGAGGCAGTGCGTGCATATTTACAAAGGTAAATACAATACTGGTATACCTGAGTTATTGAATAAATTGATAAAAAATTTCAATTTAGTACAGCGGTGTAGCTACAACAAAGCCGTTTATAAAAAAAATCGTTGAATTAAATTTAAAATTACTAAAATGTTTGATTTATTTATTAAAAACATACATTCTGTTCTTCTATATCGTCGGTACAATGCCAAAACCATGAATGTGCTAATTTGGCATTTTTTGCCCAAGTACTTTATTAATTGTGTTGAAACTTATTAATTCTAAAGTAACAAATGTACCTCAAGGGTCTAATCCCTTTTATGACAGATATCTATTTTCAGAAAGTGGGAATTTTGTAGTTGCTTCGATTCTTAAGGCTCGGAAGTACCACATATTTAAAACTAAAAATTTCGTGATTTTGGCATTGTACCAACGATATGCTATACATATTATCAACTCTTTCTCATACATATCTGCTATTAAGCATTATTTATATCCATGTCCGTTACTACTTTATAACTTTTGTTTCCTTTTAGTCATGTTTATTCGTGTCTTTCTTCTATATTTCTTCACTTTTCTGCTTCCACCATTTTTTTACTCTCTTGCTGTCATTATTTATAGTATCTTGGTAATGAAGGGTATAAGACCAATTAATTATAACTTTCTTTCCACATTTAACCAATCCCCCTTTCTAGTAAAACCTTTTATTAAAATAGAATAATAGGCTAATACGACATTTCAAATCATCTGTTTTGTTTACTGATCGGAATAATTTCTTTAAAAACATTGGAAACGGTAAAATATATTGGGCCACGAGTTTATCATTTACCTCACTGCGCAAGTATATGAATATTGATTGGCTGTCCCGATCGATATCGATCTTGATTGGCAGGTGGAACGGTGTAGCCCTGCAGTATGTTTTGTTCTTCACCTTTGTCGGCTGGAAGTTGGTGCTTTTATGCACACGCTATTTTAGAACAATCTCTTAGGGTGGTGTTTAATAAAACTTTATATCAAGCAAATAGCGTTAGATTGTGATCCATTCCGATAGCTATTACACAAATGTTCAATAAATGTTGATTTTGTCTAAATTGATGTACTAATTACCAGCTACTAACTTAACTACTTATTGATAAGGCAACCCCACACAAACTCGAGAAAATATATACAGTTCACTTTACACATAAATGTGGGAAAGTTATTAAAACCCTCATATTTGCGCAGGAAGCATCAAATTTTATCGTAATACGATTTATTGCTACTGTAATACCTTGCAGCGGCACCACTGATTTATACACAAAAGGCAAATACATAACATGCTGGCTTTCTATCAGTTAAACATTTCTATGACTCTATGGATTTAAATTTATATTTCATATTCATTCGTGTTTAATTAAAAAAAAAGTTGAAAAAACAATTATTACGAACTGCTGAAAAATATATGCTATGTTTGTAGGATTATAATGAAATACTGTCAAATTATGGACATATTTTATTATGTTTTTGAATGTTTTATTGCCAATTTCAATCACACCTACTAAAAATTAGGTATAATGCTTAATACGATCTTTAAAATTGATACATTTTATCCAATATTAACAGTATTTGTATAAATATATTATTTAAGATTGCCGAGCACTTTTATTTATTAATTATTTATTCACTTCTCCCTAACACAATTTTCCCGTTAGGATCAAGCAAGAACATGCGACACAAATCGTGCGTCTAAATTGAATCGTGCGTCTCAGTCGTGCTTCTAATTGAATTATGCATCCAAGTCGGACGTCTGAATTATATTGTGGGTCTAAATCATACGTCTTAATTGAATCGTGTGTCTAAATTAAATCGTACGTTCTGATTTGATGCATGATGATAGCAAAGTTTTTATGGCAAAGGGCTAAATACAAGATTGTTCAAAACAGAAAAAAAATTCGATATCCTACCATCATTTTTATGTACACCTGTTTTAACACTGTCTATCACTGTATAAATCTTTTTTTTAAATCTTCTCCTTTTTTTGTTATTTTATATTTCTTATCTTGTTCCTTTTCTACTTCATCTATTCTTCCTATCATTTCTATTCTTCTTATTATCTTCTATTTTTTTGTCAGTGTACTTTTTTAAATCCTCAGACTTCTTCATTATTTCTTCTTTATTTTGTTTCCTATTTTCATCCATATTCTTACTATTTTCCTCTAATTTATCCATTTTTCTATCCATTTTCTTACTATTGTCCTCTAATTTATCAATTTTCTTGCTTATCTTTTTAGTTTTCATCCATTTTCTTACTGTATTCATTCCATTTCCTCCTTGTTCTACTTGATCTACGTTCCCATCATCTCTCTCCTGTTCTTCTATCAAACCAACTTTCTTTCCTCCTCGCAAGTCTATCTAATATAATCACTTTTATCTAATATATCACTTTTGAACTTTCACAACTTTTAATACTTTATATTCGACGTCTCCCTTGGCTTTTAATGTTATTTTCCCCCTAATTAAATTCCACCCATATTTCCTTAACTTTATATTTTGTCAATTTATTCCTCCTCTTATCTCCTAAACCATACAGACATCCCACACATGCAATATATTCTTTTTTTTTTAAATATACCAAAATCAACAATTCAAATAAACAAAACCATAAACAATCTTAACAATTGCCTTCCAAATTCCAAAATTGCAAATATCCAAAATGTTGATCTCCCTCTAGAAACAATGCTAAACGTTGGCTGGTGACATTTGATATAGAAACCCTCTGTATATCAATTTTTTATAAATTTGCCCAGACTCTTAAAAAGGGTGGTTCTGCTCTAAAATTTTACAAAAAAATATCATTTATCAAATTTAATACTAAATAAAAAATAAATTTTTAAATTTTTCAATCTTCTCTTCCCGTTAGCTCCCTCCTTGTCTCCACTTGTCTCCACTTGTCTCCACTTGTCTCTATTGCCTCTACCTTTCCACTTGTCTCTGCCTATCTGCTCGTCTTTATTTATTTGCTAGTCTGTACCTATCTGTTAATATCTCTACCTGTGTGTGCTGTTCGTGTCTCCCTGTCTCTGCCGTTTGTATCTGTCCTGCCTCTACCTGTTCTTTTTCTGTGAACGTCTGTTTATCTCTGCTTATTTGTCACTCTATACTTTTTACTTTTTTTTTTAAATAAAACTTTTTATACCTTTTTTTTTATTTTATTCTTACAGTTTTCCAATCAAACTAACAATATCTCCAATATAATTAAAAATCCAAACATATTCCAAACTCCAAACAATTCTTACATAACACCCCCTCTGACAATTCCTGACAATCTAATTTCTATCTGACATTTCATCCCAAAATCAACAAAAATACCGACATTTTGATTTTTACTTTTTGATTTCAAGACACTTCACCACTCCACTATCGTTCAATTTAGATCATAAATTTGATTACGTCAGGAATTTCTATATCAATATAATATATTATAGTTACCTACTCGTACATATTTTGATTACAATATTTAGAAAATCGTTAGTGTTTTTCTCAGCAAATGGAAATTCTACCGAAAACTTCCTTGTTTCGATGCGAACAATGACTTCCTCAAATTTCCTCTAACTAAAGTTTTCAATGACTTTTCAGAATTGTTTCGAACAGACGGCTGGAAGTTGCCCAGTACGGCTTGTGACTACGAGTTTTACAGTTCGGACCATTCGCCGCTTTATGGAAAATTCTATTCTCCACGGTTTCCATCCAGCTATCCTAAGAACATTAGATGTACTTACAAGTTCCAAGGCAGGTATGTAAAAATAGATTTTTTTCACATATTTCTTTACCTAAAAAATCGATAAAAATGTTTTATTAAAGACAATTTAACTGCAGTTATTTGACATTGTAAAAAGTTTGAGAAGTATTAGGCGTTTTTATTTTGACAAAAGTTTAAAAATTAAATTTTTAACTAAATCTAACTCAAAATTAGTTTCCAATAGTAAATTATTTTAAACAAAATATTTTTGAAAATTGTGATTTAAATATATCATATATCGCAAATCAAAATTCCGAAAGGTCAGAGTTATCTAAAATATGTTGTAGAAATCATTTTGAAAATCCCCAAAGTGGAGTAGTTTTCCACATTATCTTGGACATCTATTATCCTGATCTCGGATGTCAGATTACACATATCTACAATAAATTCGAGCCCTACTTCGATTTCTTTTTCGGCTCACAACATAATCATTGATATATAGGTCGTCAGCTCTGCCACTTCGTTCATCACAGCACCCTTTGATACTTTGGATGAGGCACTACACCTTTAAGGGCTCGCTCTTTTAAAAGTGGTTGAATTGGCAAGTGACTTCTGTACCCTTCATTCACTTAGTCATTTTCTGTAATGGATCTCGTTTATTTATCTCTGTATTTATTTATAAATTCTCCTTGGTAAAGTAACTTTCTTGATAGCAGGGCCGCCGAGAGCCAGGTTGGGCCCGGGACAATTTTTAAGGTCGGGCTCCATGATAATTTTATAAAAACATTTCTGAAAAAAAAAACTTTCTAAAAAAAAGTCATAAAAAGTCCTAAAAACTCATAAAAAGTCATAAAAAGTCCTAAAAATTCCTAAAAATTCCTAAAAATTCCTAAAAATTCCTAAAAATTCCTAAAAATTCCTAAAAAGTCCTAAAACATCCTAAAAAATGTCCTAAAAGGGCCCTTAAAAAATTCCTAAAAAAGTTCTAAAAAAGGCCTAAAAAAAAGTCCTAAAAAGTCCTAATTTTATTTTTTTTAAGAAGTCCTAAAAAATGCCGCTGCCGGGCTCCCACTTAAGCCCAGGCCCCGGGAATTAGTCCCGGCTACCCCCCCTCTTGTCGGCCCTGCGTGATAGAGCACACATGGATCCATATTGGTGTTTATAATTTTGTTTTTACGGTCTCATGAGTAAAATCGTGACTGATTTTGAGACATTTTTTATGCTAACAAAATAAAATCAATAAATCGATCACGAATAGTTATCCTATTTAAAGCTGAATAAAGTTAAGACTTAGAAATCCCAGGTAAATAATTTGTTTAATACTCGATAAACATTAAATATTACCACAAAAGACTAATTTTGAATTATTAATATTTATTTTTCTCAAAAAAGTTTCCAATAATCAATTATAGATTTGTTTAAAAACTTTTGTGCTTGTATGCGAAACTAAAACAACACCAAAACAAACCAAACCCCCGTTATTTGTTGTGTAATCGTCAGACAATAGAAGGCGTCTGTTTCGCTAAGTGGGTAAGAAAGTTCTGTTGTTCTATCCCGACTAGAATAACCCGTGGTGATTTGCGCAAACCGGGACGCTGACAGTTTGACATCTGATTAAATTCCTGATGATCCTTGTACATTGGTTAAATTTGAACCTTCCTTCTTGACTAATGAGAGCCCGTTGAGTAACTCCTAATGGACGGGTAAATAAATAAATAAATCGTTGGTATTTATCGGTTAGATACGGGGTAAATGAAAAATGTGTTTCTCTCTTTATTAGAAAAATGTTTGCGAAAGTGGCTCCAGAGGGGAAGCTCAAAGGATCCAGATTGATGTGATAGTCAAAAGGTTCGTCTTCGTCAACAATTTTAATCTGTTTTACAACTTTATTTACAATGTCTTGTCACTGGTCAATTTGGTGAAAATGCATTTAAAAATTTGTCTTTATCAAAAATTTCCATATTTAGGGTAGGCTTTCTCAATACTTTCTACAATTTGGTACAGAGCAAATGATTTTTCTGGATTTGGAAGCATCCATTCACTAGCAGATTGATTGTAATATGTCTTATAAGGGATAAACACAGTTCAATCCAAAGATTAGAGTTTATGAGGTGTGTGGGGTGAAAATGTGAGTAATATAACACCATTGGACTTTGCGACTGGACATTACGGAAATAGTATATAGTTCTCAAGTTTATTAACACAACTAGATTGCAATTTTGAAAATATGACAATTTATAATTTATTTACCAAATTATGAAAAATACGCGATCAATCTTGAAGTTTTAAAGCTTTTCCAAAGACTGGTAACTGATCTTGAAGTTCTGGCAATTGACCAAATTTCTTCCGGAATACAAGTGCCAGACCTCGAGCGTCGTAGATGTTGGAGGAAGTGCTATGGGTAGCAAGTAGTCTTTTGAAACCGTAAGCAGGTTTTAACACCATGTCTTGCTTTTCCGATACCTCCATATGTACCAATAAATTCTTCAAAGACAAGGTCAGGTGTTTCTTGGAGCTGGTTTACTTCTTCTTCCTCTTCATGGTCATCCTCAAATGGCGCCAGCCGATTTTGGTGCACTACCTTTGGTTTACCATTCGGGATCTTACTTATAGGGTAAATTACATCATTGATTTTTTACTTGATGAAGTACGAACCTTCCCAAAACCTTTGAAACTTTGGAGAATAACCCTTTTGTCTTTTTGGGTTATGGAGCCAGATTTTGTCGCCTTCCTTGAAACATTCTTCTGTGACTTGGGTATCGTATCGCCTCTTCATTCTGTCGCTAGCGATTTGAAAATGCGAGCGGACCAGTTCATGCATATCGTCCATTCTTCTTCGTAACTGGATCACATAATCCTCACCAGCTACATCTTCCCCAGGTAGACATCCAAACTCAAGGTCGTACGGTAGTCTCATCTTACGCCCAAACAGGACCTTTGCTAGTGTTTGGCCTGTTGATTCATTGACAGCGGATCTATAAGCCATTGCAAACAGAGAAAGATACTAATCCCAATGTCGCTGATGGTTTGTAACTACTTTTGACAGATATTTGCCAATGGTCTTATTCATTCGTTTTACCATTCCATCGGATTGTGAGTGCAATGCTGTGGTTCTGGTTTTCTTCATGCCTAGTCTGTCACAGACTCCACGGAGGAGTTGGCTTTCAAAATTTCTGCCTTGTTCGCTGTGGATCTCCAAGGGCACTGCAAATCGACAAATAAACTCTTTTATCAACACATCTGTAACAGTTACGGCCTCTTTATTTGGAATGGCGTAGATTTCCACCCACTTCGTGAAATAATCCATAACCACCATCATGTATTTATTACCCTTCTCGGTCATGGGGAATGGTCCAGCAATATCTAAGGCGATTCTCTCAAATGGGCTACCAACGTTGTATTGCTTCATGGGAGCCTTCCTTTTTCGCTGAGGTCCATTACTCATAGCACAGCTGGTACATTTCTTACACCATTCCTTTACATCATCTTAACTGTTCATCCAATAAAACCTTTCCCGAACTCTCTGAAGAGTTTTCCTAACACCGAGATGTCCTCCTGATGGACTGTCATGTAACTGACGAAGTACTTCGGCTACTCTACTCCTTGGAACGACCAACTGTTTTCTGTTCTTGGAACCATCATCATTTTCAAGTACTCGCTTTAATAAGCCATCTTCCAGGATAAAGGAGTCCCACTGAGCCAAATAAGACTTAAGTACTGGAGAGAGATCAGATAATTGCCAAGTATGTCGACGATTTGTCTCTTTCCATTATCGCATCTTCTTTAAAACGGTATCGTTCTCTTGTTCTTCCCTAATTTTAGCAGGGGCCCACTCATCGTTGACTACAGTTGTTATAGTAGTCCACTTTCTTTGAATTCCGCTTTGTTGCAGTGCGAGCACTCTGCAAGGTCTTCTAGACAGAGAATCGGCATTTCTGTGGCCTATTCTGGCTCTATCATCATCAATATTAATAGTTTTGGATTAAAAAGGTATTTACCTTGCACTGTAAACCGCATAGTACTACGTGGGTTCATTTACGGTTTTGTTAAAATCGTATTCTGTCAATTTTAATCAGACATTTAATATGTTGCACATAAAGAACTCTTAAGATATTCTGTTTCTTTAAATAAGACCCCAGACCACTCTCCAGTTCAGCAACAATAAAATTGTACTAAACTGAGTTTTAGCCGAGAGCAAATTATAAAATATTTGAGTTTCAGAACTCTGTCTTTGACTGGCTCATTTAAATATAGTAAAAGTTAATAAAAGAAGGGCCAGTCGTAATAAATTTTTTATTATTCATTCAATCATTAGTCCTACAAAGTGTGATAATATGAATTTCTTCTTTCTATTTTTTTACATGTTCCGAATGTTCCTACAATTCATCAAATCAGACTATGTACGAATAACAATGGATCTTCCAATATTTTTCAGTTTCGACTAGATTTATTGCTCAAGTATGATTGTTTAGAGTAGAGTATAAAAATCCACTTTCAAGATCGAATTTCAAATACCGAAAAGATGATTTCGGTTATTTACGTCGAATCCACAGCAACGCCAAGCCAAAGATGTTTAAGATAAAAGTCAAAAAGTCGCAGTCCAACTAATGATAGATTGTACACACAAGGCTAATTCATCGAGTTGCACACCGAATCATCCATCATGTTGGACGTCTATGCAAGTCGCAAGTCGAAAACATGTTTTCGACCTTTTCCTGAAATTCCATCGCTGGTGGTTTAAAAATTAAGACTGAAATGGAAGTTGTCTGTGCTTTTTTGTAGTTGGCCATTAGTGAAAATGTTTATTTGATTTCGGTATTTTGCTGTAATACCGGGTGTCACAAAAAAAAATGGTAATAATTAGACTGAAATCCGGTCTTATAAAATAAAAAGGCGATTATTATAGTTTGAATTGACAATATTAGGTATCAACGACTAATAAATTGTTAAACAGCAGACCAATATTGCTGTGCCATGGTTTTACGTACCTGAGAAATAACAACATACTTCCGGTCAACGCCAAACAACTACTAGACTAATTAGGTTTACAAAAAACAAGTGTTACCAACGTAGAATATCATTAATCACCTTTACCCGATTTTGTTGACATTCGACAATGTTGGATTGAAGTAATATGGAGCCAATTTAGCCTCAACTGGATGAAAATTTTTAAGTTCAGTGGCGTTCCAAACAACAAACGAACAACACTGCGAAATTTTAACAAAATCGAGTAAAGTGAAAATGAAATTTAAAAAAAAACTCATTTAAAAGTTTTGTACCTGTGAATTTTTCGGATCTACATAGTGACCCATTTGAAATTGGGCTACTTTCATAAATTTTTTATTTATGGAGCGATTTTGACTATTTTTATTTTGAAATGGGGAGAGCTGTATTTTGGAGCCAAGCAGCGTCCAGTTTTTTTAAAAACCAAGGCCTACTAGATTACATTCAGATCTCATACTAGGATGATTTTTTGGATAAAAAGCTTCTTAATGCATAATAAACAACTTGTTAGTAATTTAGTCATGGAATCGTTAATATTGAATATTTTTTCATGAAACTTGGTACAGTTCTATTTCAAAGGACGCCGATTCCAGTGGGGTACGCGGATTTTTTTCTAAAAAAACGCTAATGGGGATTCTGGATTTTTCAATTTTTGAATGTGATCTAGTAGACCTTGTTTTACAAAAAAGAAATTGGACGCAGCATGCCTCCAAAATACACCTTTCCTTCCTCCATATTTAAAAAAAAATATAGTTAAAATCGATCCATAAATAAATGGGCCACTCTGTAGATTAGATTAGTAGTTGGACGTTAATTGTCCTTGTCCACCGCGACCCTTTCAGATCTATTGTGGGACTCCGTTTGTTTTAGAGTATGTCGTCTAGCCTGGTCTTTTTTATTAGACTTAGTAACTTTGACAGTGGCTCCCGCATGTAGTTGCATGCATTTGGCTTTTCTTTGCCCAATGTTAGAAACCTCATTCTAGCCAGGCCTTCACATTGGCACAGGACGTGGAATGATGTTTCCTCTTCTTCTTCTTCTTCTTCTTCATAGAACCTGCACAAAATTGCTTCTTCTGCTGGATTTATGACACTCATGGTGCCTTTTGAGGCGACGGCGACAATGTCCAGTAAGAAGGCCTACTGTTATCCTAACTATTTGACGTTTTTGATCCAGTAGGTCTTTCGTGAACTTGACCGATGGTTCCTTGATGAACTGTTTGGCCTGTCTTAGTCTTGGACAGTTGTTCCACCGTTCCTGAGACTTTTTAGTAGCACCTAGACAGACAAGCCGCTGAATGCTAGTGAGTTGGCCTATTGCACTTGCCTGCGCAGTTTTCGTTACCCACGCCACTGCGTCATAGGTAATTATGGGTCTTATTACCTTTGTGTATAACCACCATATGGTCATTTTGGGGTTTAGACCCCAGTTTTTCCCACATATTCTTCCATAGCTTACAAGAGCTTTGTATGTGAGTTGATTCCACGTCAGCCTTTGTTCAAATATGACTCCGAGGTATTTGGCTTCTGTGACGAATGGGATAACTATGTTGTTTAGTACTAGTGGTCTTAGTCTTGTGAGTACCTACCTGTTTTTTGGTGAATGTTACAACTGTTGTTTTTTGTGCGTTAATGGACAATTGTTCCTTTTTGCACCAGTTGTTCACTATGTTTAGAGCTGTTTGAGATCGCTCCGAGACTGTGCCTGCAAATCGCCTCCTGATGATAATTGCTAGGTCATCTGCATATACTAGGCACTGGTAGCCTTCTTTGGACAATGCTTTAAGTAAGTCGTCCACAAGAACTGACCACAGCATTGGAGATAATATTCCTCCTTGTGGGCAACCCCGTGTAACTTTTGCCTGTATTGTTGCCTTTCCTAGAATGGATAAAATAATCCTGTTTTCTAGACAGGCAGTGATCCATTGGCATATTGTAACTAGGACGGTTCTCTCTTCTAGAGTCTTGGTTATTGACCTGGTTGAGGCATTGTTGAAAGCTCCTTCGATATCTAAAAAAGTGACTATTGCTATTTCTTTGTCATATATTAACTTTGAAAGCAGCCCATTTAGATCGTCCAGCGCTAAGTCAGTTGACGTTCCTGACTAGTATGCACTGTGTATGTCTGTCTTTATAAAGAAATGTTTATGTTTTCTCATGTAGAATAATCACCCCTAAAATTATTGGAACTGAATTACAGGACACCCATGTTCATAGATTTAAAAAAAAATCCTTTATTCGCTATTTTTTCGTAGTTTGGACTAAAATGACTGGTAGTCATTGACAGCAGTGTCCAATCAATTAGAGCAGCGTTACTTAAAGTGTGGTCCGGGGCCCTGTGGTTTTGGAGGGGCTCTGCGAAGAAAATAACAAAAAAAGCAGTATTTATCGCTTTTTTGTTTTTTTTTTTTTACTTTGGGATTTTGAGTTGGAGGACCTTTCTTTTTTAGAAGTCAGCAAGAGGAAGGAGTATCTGATTATGGTATTTTGGGTGGGAGGAGCTTTTTTTTATAAGTCAGGAAGAGGAAGGCGTATATGATTTTAATAATTTTGTTGTAGGGGCTCTGCAAAGAAACGGGAGGTACCTAGCAAGAGACTAGAGCAAGGAGCATTTTTTCCGAAATGTGTTAGGGCTCTGTCAAATATTTCACTTTTCAAAAAAGGTTTCGTCACCAAAAAAGTTTGAGAACCACTGAATTATAGTATACTGTTTAAAAATACATTTTCTTAGTAAAACTTTATTTAAAAAAATTCGTAGTGGAATCTCCGACTATATGAAACTTGGATTTAAATTAAAAACTAAATACAAGACAGTAATAATTAATAACCAAGCACTAAAATCTAATTGTGCTTACAAGTCTTTTAAGTAGCACACATGGCGGATACAATTCTCGACTGTATCATACCCAGATATTATAATTCTTTTTATATTACTAAGAAGTAATAATAACTATTATTTGCCTGTAATAAGCACTATAATAACAGAATATAATCAGTGGTCTTCCGTATATTTAGGATAAATCGGAACAGACAAGTAATAATTAAGACATATCCTTATTGGGAGTGGGGCAATTTCTCATACATTTCCGCCCAGTCCTTTGTTTAAACTGAAACTAGACTCCTTATTTTGAAACGCTAATATATATCCATAAATATTCTGTATTTTATTTTCAGGTACAAGGAACGAGTTCGAATAATCTTCGAAGAAGTTGCGCTGCAGAAGGGCGATATCAGGTGAGAAAAGTGCATTCGAACTTTTCGGCAACGCCTCATAAATATGGTGATAGTTTCGATGAAATGTTCAATAACTTTTGGCCGCCACCAGATGCGACGCGGTCCAATCAAAATAAACGAATTTATACGTTCTAAAATTCAATTCGAATGACGTCGTTAAATTGAAGTGGATCGCTTCGCGATGTTATTGTGGACATTTTGAAGTTATATTTGAGGTTTATATATTTATTTTATATTAATCGAATTATTAATATTATTTGCTACCAGTGGCGTAGATAATCAGCATTCCAAATTTGGAAATTTTACAAAAATGATTTAATAAAGTTCATAATAAACCAAAAATAATTTTAAATAAAATAATAACTATGATTTAGCAACGATGGCGATTAATAGTATTGGATAGTTCTTAAATGACAATAAGCAGTGAAGATGGCGTAACGTCGAAAGCACTATTTTAAATCAAATAATTTTTAATGATTCAAAATAATAAACTCTTTTTATTTTTGCCTAGCCTGAGTATATTAAATAAAAATTTAATAATCAACCATCCGTGATTCCAGATAACCAAGAATTCAAGGATAATAAGCTTTCGTTATAATTATTTTATTATCAGCGATTCTCCGCTTTATCGAGACTCAAATTTTAACGGACAAGAAAATCTAATTTATTAAATTCGCTTTTTCATAAAGCCTTTCCCGGTAATTATTCTTTGTACATCCATTCGTGGGGATTTGCGAGACCACAATCGCTCCTTAATTAGTGTTATGGTATTATCTTCCCCTTTTTTTAATAATTATTTAGTAGGATGCTGAAGGGTGTATGAGTAGCCACTAGGATTTTTCAAAATTACAAATTAAAAATAAAATTAACGTCTTTAAGGCTATTCATCCATTAAAAATGCATTTCGATCCTCGATAGGCTATTGAACGTCGTAAATCTGGCAACAAAGCGCGATTGCCGCAATATGACCAATGATATTGCTCACCCATATTTAAATAATAATAATTATCATAATAATAAATATCAACCCGTCAAAAGCCTTAAGGTTATTAATTCATTAAAAACTTGTTGATTGATGCTCAGAGGTATCTTTAGACTACAGATATCGGTCTTTACAGATCGTCAAAGTCCTGCAGGTTATTAACATCGCCGAGAGATATATCTAGATGGCCCATTTTTTTTAAGTGGCCATTTGTTGGGCTTCTATCAGCCCAATGGCAAAAAACAAAAGAAAAAAACAAAAAAAAACAAAAACAAAAAAAAACAAAAAAACAAAAACCAAAAAAAAAACAAAAAACAAAAAACAAAAAACAAAAAAAAAACAAATCTTTCCTCATAAAATAAACTGCAATTTCCACGGTTATAATTGTGACAAGTTAAAACTTAATAGCCACTTTTTTTCTACAAATATAGTAGCGAACCAAGCAGATTTTTAGCCATTTTTTTAAATAGTGGATGCCTTATACGAGGGTCATTCAATAAGTAAAGAGAAATGGCTATAGCTCAAAACCGGTTTATTTCAATCTTTCAAAATTAAGGCTATTTTTTAACATAATCACCCCCCAGAGTTATGAATTTGTCCCATCTTTCTTGCAGCTTTCTAATTCCCTCGGCGAAGAATTCTATCGATTTACCCCGAAGTCACTTTTGCACCGCTTCCTTAACTTCCTCATTGGTAGCAAATCTTTTTCCACGTAGGGCGTCTTTGAGTGGTCCAAACAGGTAAAAATCAGATGGGGCGAGGTCGGGACTGTAGGCAGGATGAGGTAAGACCTCCCAACCCAATTCTTGAAGCTTATCACGGGTCAGCTGGGCTGTATGAGGGCGGGCCTTATCGTTCTAAAGAATGACCCCTTTTGACAAGAGTCCACGGCGTTTGCTCCTGTTAGCTGGTCTAACTTTGTGTTCTAGCAACTGGACCCTGTGAGTCCCAAAAGATGGTCAGCATCACTTTACCGGCGGAAGATTGAACTTTGAATTTTTTGCGAACCGGAGAGCTAGTGTGTTTCCACTCCATAATCTGCCTTCTGGTCTCAGGTTCGTAGTGATGGATCCAGACCTCGTCACTGGTCACTATTCTTTCAAAAAAAAGCGTCTCCTTCAATCAAACTTTGTTGCTTTAAGTCTTGACTAATGAAAAGCCTTGATTCTTTATGAGCGTCAGTAAGCTATCTGGGAACCCATCCGGCACACGTTTTTCTGTACTTTAAATTGTTCTGAATGACATTGTGAATAGGTCCAACACTTACTTGAACTTCCTCAGCTATCATTTCAACAGTAAGTCTTCTGTTATCACGAATAAGTCCAACGAGGAACCAGAAACTTCAACTGGACGTTCACATCGGGGTTCATCACCTACACTTGTTCGGCTACTTTTAAACCGATCAACCCACTTGTAAAAATTCGCACGGTTCATACAACTTTTACCGTACTGTATCAACATTCTAGAGAAAATTTCATTTGGTTTTACACCTTCTGTGACTATAAATCTAATAACTGAGCGCTGCTCTTCTAAGGTGCAATCTTCTAGTGGACTTGCCATGGTGAATTGAAAATTCTGAGATTATGTTGACATAAAATGATGAAACAGCTGATCAGAGCATATCCCAAGGTTGTCAACTAACATCCCTAAAAAGATTGTACACATTCATTGAATAGTTTTAAAATTATAGAATTTGTCTCTTTACTTATTGAATGACCCTTTTAGATACATCATAACCTTTATTTTGTATGATTTCAGTTGTTTGAACAGAGCAGACATCATTCGAGTTTTCGACGGCAGCACATCGTCCGATCCATCGATAATACTTCTCTGCAACGAAAATTCACAAATTGAAATACTTTCAACCGGTTCGGACCTCTTCATTGAATTCGTAGCGAATTCCGACAACCCCGGACGAGGATTCAAAGGAAAATTTCAGTATCAACCTAGCGATAATATAGTAGGTAGGTATCTGGAGATAACAGAAAAAAGGGTGTATTTTTGTAATAAAGAATTGTATTTTTCTATGTTAATGTTGTTGAAGTGTCTCTTTAATTATTAATGACTTGAAACATATTAAATCAACCAAGACCTTGAAAAATTAGTTAAAATATCAAAAGATCATCAGTTAACTATCAACCCTATCAAAAGTTTACAAAATGAAATGAATATAAAATTACAAGATAAGTTATTACCATTTTCATGTTCAGTTCGAAATTTAGGATTAGTTTACATCCTTACATATTTCTTGTAGCATTCTGCACACTGTCCATGCACTTTCTTTCCTTTCTTTTCATCTTTTATCAGGTTCTGTTTCGATTCTGGAGTCGTATTTCGTCTTCTTCAACTCAACTCTAACATATGCATGAATCATCAATTTTATTCACAGGGATTTTTTTTACCCCGACCATCAGTAACATCAGATATTTCTTGCTTTGCAAGAGTTCTGTAAGGCTTACCATCACTAATCCCAAAAGTTTGCAAAATTAAATTTTTGCACATGGGTGTATTAACATTGTTAATTTTCGAACTATATTGGTAAGTTACTGATTTAGGGCTTTTAGAATTATCACGAGGACGCTTTTGTTTAATATTTTTAGATTTTATGAGCCCATGGATAAATGTATTTTGTTTTGAAAAATCACCCACTTTCCAGAACGAATCATGCACTTTTTCTCTCATTTTCATTTACACGATTATAACACATTTTCTAACATTTACAGTTGAAATTCTGAAAGCTTTTTGCTGGTACATTATGCCCTTTTGAAGATAAGTATTGTTTACTTTCATTTCGACAACGTTTTCTAACGCTTCTCTTCTAAGAATTTTCATTTCTTACTCTTTTTCTTCCACGAATGGGTGGCGAATGAGCTTCTGCCTGAATATTCTCTTCACTATTAGACCCCACTTCTAATTCTACAATATAAGACAGAATTCGACATTATTTCAAAAAATATAACATTAATAGCTTAACAAAATAAAAAAAACACATTTACCCGAGTTTGAGGGCTCAAAACTCGATGAATTTGCACTACTAACATGATCATCCTCATAATATTCGCCTGTATCCATTTGTATACAAGTTTTACTCAAAAGACTTCGGAAAACTACTTAAACTTACTTGAAACGTCATAAAATACACGTCAACGTCGCGTCGTCATCGCAAAATAAGGTTAGAAATTTGACTTACGCCAATTTTGCTCCGAATATTGGTTTTTATTTTTCAAAACATAAACATAGTTACGTCCTCTATTGCTTTTTTTATGAACACCTGACTTACACCACTTTGGCAGTAAAAAAAAATCGTATTTTAGAGAATAGTTTTCTGTATTATCAGCGTTTTCAAATTTTTGACTTACACCACTTTTGCTGTGAACCCCTCATTTCAATATAGACTTGAATTGGTTTCTGGGAATTACTGTTTGAGCTAAGAGAACGCTCTAAAATTTAAGCGTCCACCAATCATTTTTTATTGCCGGTAACTTTACCATACCCATCCAACCAACAAGAGAAAAAACCCAACAAAGCAAAAATGCTGGCAAAGTAGACTTTGTGCCATTATTTGAAATGTTAATTACTTGCGGATCCGCAATGCTCACCAAGCCAAAAAATATGCTGTATCCAGCTGGATAGATGGAGGAAGACCCCAGCAATTTCAAGTCCTAATTCTGATCTACCACTACAAACTTCTCAAGCTAGAATAAAGTCACTTCTAAGCGATATATCAACTATTTTAAAACCGTATACCACTTTGCTGCTGAAAGATCAAATATGGATCTAAAGAATCCTCTTCTGATTTTTCACAAACTGATACAATGCTGCGCTATTGTATGGATACATTATATTTTACCGTACACACAAAAAAAATAAATATTAATTTATGAATTTATAACCCAAAAAATTATTCTTCACATTGTATACAAACTGTAATGTACATTTTCAGATTTTAAATTACAACAATGTTTCCGCTACCAACTTCTGTAAGCTCTGCTATTATCCTCGCCCAAGCCCAGTTTATCCTTTAAATTTTGTTGTGCTTCTCTTCTCAGATAATTAATTTGATTTATTTTATTGTCAAGTTCTTTTCGATGCTCAGCCAAACATTTTTGATAGGTTTCGGTAAAGGGAATGTTGTCGACATTTTTAACATCCGGAATTACATAGGTTTTCATGACAGGTTGAGATATTTCAAAAGTTATGCTGTCTGTAGGCACGTCTTTACAAGTTAGATTGATTTCTAATTTTTTTTTACAAGGATTTTTTTCCGTATTTACAGGACTGGTTTTTTTTTCTTGGTTTTTACACCGACATATTTTTTTATTTCCCAACTTTAAACTTTCATGTTTAAAAAAAGTTGAACTAGTTTTACACGAGTGATTTTGACTTGTGTACTGCATTGGAATATTTTTATGTGTGGATGTCAAATCTGTTGAATCAGAGTTGGGTTTGTCTTCTACAACTTTTGACTCACCGGCTAATGTAGTTAATTGATCATCTTCTTTATTAATTTCAAATTTAACTGAACGCATAGATAGTTCTTTGGAAATACAATCTCTATCCAAAGATTTGTTTCGATAAAAAATTTCGTTGTTTTCCTCATATTTATGTTGAGCTACATATTCTTTCTTCAAAATTAACGATTGGCTGGACAAAGGACAAGAATGTTGTCGTAGAATACCGGTTAACTGAGAATTTGGTGCGCGTTTAGGTAAGTTTACATTGGTTTCTCTTCTAAGCCTGGTAACTGCTAAAGGTATTCTGGATCTAGAATGACTTCGATTTGTAGTAATTTCTTTTACCAATTTATTGTGTGATTGATCACTTCTTTTACAATGTTCAGAGCAACAAAACTCTTTGACTTCGGTGAGCTTTTTTATAAGTAAATCGATGTCTTTTAAGGTTGTCTGACTAATACAATTCAAGCAATCGCATGTTCTGTTTTGAAGGTCGTTTATCATTTCCAACGTACCGGTATTCGCTGTTTCCATTTCAAACTTTGATGAGTTTTCTCACAGATTAAATGATGTACATACAATTTTCCATTAATCCTTGATTTTTATACAGTTAATTATTCTTATGTCCCCCTTTTTGTAGTAAATATTTAGTTATTTTGCATTATCTCTGAATTTATTTTTGCAAATATAAAATATAAATGAAATGAAAAATTCGTATAATGATTTTGAATGGTTTTATGTGACGTATTTTTTATTTATAGTTTTGACAGACGTCGTAAAGCAGTTCTTGCTCTCGTTTTGTAATCACAGTAAGCTGATGAAGTGCGGTCATAACCACATACTTTGATTACTATACGGTGCAAGAGAGAGGTCCGACACGCCCAACATAGGGCGCGGCCATTTTGATTCCTATGCCACAGTTTATAGGTAAAGAATCAGATCGCTCACTCTGCGTCGGCATTTTTGATCTCAATGTTCCAGTTTATGCACTGCGCAACTCGGATAATACAATATTTGATAACCGCCTATAATAAAACAGCAGCCTTCTGCGTATCCTGAATTTGTATCCCTGGAGTGGATGTTATTTTGGAACTTTCAACTGGTCCGAGTGAACTAACTGATTCTTTAGAAATAAACTGTGACTCCAAAAATAATATTCACTGACACTGACAGCAGCAAGCAAAATATCAGGTGCGTTTTAATCATCCGCTTCTGCTTCCGGAATTGTCGGTTCGGTCGTTTTAACCTGTCAGATTAAAACAAGAAAACTGACAATTCCGAAGCAGAAGCGGATGATTAAAACGCACCTATTAAAAATATTGCGCCAAGATGTCAACACGTAATAAGGGATCAAAATGGCGGAGTTTTCTATCTCCTTATATGGTGCGTTTGATTTGATCATCGGAGATCTCCGAGCGCTTCAAAAGTGTTTGAATTAACACTCCGAGAGATCCCTAAAGTGTTTGTTTCGCTTTGGAGCGAGACCATAGAGCGAGCTCGATGTTCTCAGAGCAGAAAGATCGAGAAGAGGGAGAAATTTGTCTTTGTCTCTACCTATCTCTTTTTAATTAACTTACAAACAAATTTGAATCTCAAAATTAAAGACCAGACAAGAAGTCAACAAATTATTTAGCCGCTTTTGTCTTATAGCTAAAATTATTCATCATAAAAAAACACAAAATGTGTGTTTAGAAAATACATTTTTTCTGTCCTGATCTAATCACCAGTAATCACAGTCATGAAGCGAAGCGGGCATTTGTGGTAAATGCTGCATTTCAGGGCCATTACCCTTTATTATTAAAAGTTTTTCCATTTTCTTTACTTTTTGCTCACTATTTTAACATACAAACCAGAAACAAGAATCACAAAAAAGCGAGGTTATGTTTTTTACTCTGTTTTATTTGATTTGATTCAATGCTCTATTGTGACGTCATTACTTCTCTGTCTCCTCGACGCTCGCTCGATCGAGTTTCAAATCAAACGCCCCTTTTAAAGGCACTTAGAAAGCTGCGCAGTGCGACCATTCTCCGTATAGTAAAAGAAAATCAAAGTATGTGATTCATCCCATCATAAATAAATTATTTATCGTTGTAGATGTATAAAGTATATTAAGAAGAAAGAAATGACATGTATAAAATTAAAAGTCATAATGTTGTTTCCCTCGAGTTATGGAGGGTAGAGAAAAGGAGGACAATCTTACATGGATCTTTATATTAAAAAGTGGCCACCAAAATGTATACAATTAAGATGGCGCTCGTGTAGCCAGGGGACAAAATCCAATGCTATATAGTCATATAGATTGCTCATTTATAATGAAATCAGACAGGAAGCAGTAAATTGAGACCTCCGTGCCATTTTAATATAAGAATTATTTATTATTTATATTATTATTTTTCAATAAAATTTGACTATTGTCGTGTATTGTCAAAATTTATCTACGATCACAGAACACTTACTCTTCTACGATCAGTCACTTTTCACGGTGTAGTTTTTAGTTTTTTATGGTTGAG